TATTCACGCTCTATATTACTCCTTATCGCACACAAGATCCATGGGATAAAAATGCTTACAAGTAACAGCGGAATAGATGTGAAAGTAAAAGCCAAAACAATATAGTAAATGCTCTGTGATCCGTTCATAAATGCACATACAAATAGGCTGTTTTTACCCAATAATTTATCTTGTATAAAGCATACCACTTACAGATTTTGCATATTAGGATTAGAAATAAAACGATGAGCAAGGTTTTGCATTAATGGGTGACGTAATATGGACGCCTCATCAGCAACTCCGGAATTAGGATTGAAATTTCCGAACACGTTTGCCAGTGCAGATAGAATATCAGGATTGGTAGTTGAAGAAGACTGTAAACGATTCTTGGCAATCTGTAAATTCTGCCGGCAATTTTCATTAGTAGGATCAAGTTCCAAGGCCTTCTGATAGCATTCCACGGCCCGAGCATGATTATCCATACTAGAATAAGCCAACCTACAAAAGTGTACAATTTAGGTAAGCTTTAAGTCTCCAAAATGATAAAGGAATAAAGCGACCTACATACCCCATTCTTCCATATGCTTTGCTATAATCTGGATCTATTTCTAGGGCTCTTTCGCAATCTTTTACAGTATCCTGATGCCTACTCATCCGGGAATATGCAGCTGCACTGAATAATACACGTTAGTCGAAAATGCAAGGAGTCTCAAATAATGTGACTTACCGATTGCAATAGTATACAGCCGTAGATGGAGCCATTTCTATAGCCTTAGTGTAGCATGCTACGGCTTCTTGGAACTGTTCTTCTTTCATACATTGATTGCCTTTTAATAAATACCGAACAAAAAATACCTTGCGCCTTTAAATTTTCGGCCATCTGCTTCGCCTCCTCACTAGCCTCCGGTAGTTTGGTACGATTTTTATTCTAATATAACGAATATATAAACACAAATATAGCTAACAAGACCCCCGAAGACTTGAATGAGGTCAACTTCTGATGGTGCTTCTGGATTCAAAGAAAAAGCAGTTTCGATACATTGCCTTGCAACTGTCTATAAAGGAGAGATAAAGGCCAAACTTTCTAAGCTTTCTAATATTCCCGCCGAATAGGAATCGGATCTGGCCTCTTTCCGCAAAAAATCAGCAATACTCTGATAGAGGCGGAACTTGAGATCATCCATGGGAAAGGTGATGAGTAGGTGATTATAGGCGGTTCAGACTAACCTACAAAAACCATTTAAAGTATCCTCAATGCGTATATTAATGCAATTTTAATTTACTTATATTTCAAATTTTATTTAATTTTTTATTGCAGGTAATTATTGATTACTATATTTTTCCGCCTGACAGTAAGCTTCATATTTCGTCATATCTTTTTTAATTAATGTGATTTAATCTATGATTTTTTGATATAAATTCACTGAATATACTGAATCACAATTTTTGGTTCGTTTAACCACATATCTTTATTGATTTTTATACGAACTGTGTTAATTGCATTCTAAGAGTAGGTTGTACAGTGTTATGGGTTGAATAATTCAATTTTTTACTTTATGATTTTAGTAAAGTTTATTTGCTTAGATGCATGTGTCTTTTAGAAATAAGTTGCTAATCACACGATATCATTTTGTCCCTTACTCATATAAGACATTCGTGTTACTATCTACCTCAATCCCATGTATAGTTTATTTTATCGCCATTTAGTATCCCTTTAGAGTTGGTACATCTACACTACACCTTCAAAACTCGTATTCCTCTCTGAACACTTATAATTTTTCCCACCTTTGTTTAAGGACTCTAATACAAATAAATTTTCTCTACCGGAAGCATATGTATATTGTCTCGATAGTGATCCAGAAATATACGAGTCTAATTATATGATGTGATTATTGACGAAAGTTACATATTTTTTAACTGTGGCCATTCCTTTATTGTAAAAGACAAGCAACCTAACAAATTACATGA